ACTACAGGGACTGGACACAGCCGCAGCATACTGGGAGCATAAGGCAGGATCCCCTGAAGCTGCAGCAGCCCTGCCTTCCTCCATGCATGCCAGGAGCCCTGTTTGTCCTGTGGACTCCTAAGGCCAGTGATTCCTGAAAGAAGCCAGCCTTAGAGCTGAGCACATCTGGGGCTGAACAGCTTCTGGCTATAGCCTCGCACTGGGACGGGGGTCTCCTTCATGTCCTTCTCTTCTTGCAGCGGATCCGGGGCAGGAAAGCCACGCTGGACGAAATCCAGACGGTGCATTCGGAGCATCACACGTTGTTATACGGAACCAGCCCTCTCAACCGGCAGAAACTTGACAGCAAGAAGCTGCTGGGTAGGCAGCCTGGGGCCCCTGCCCCACTCTCCCCTTTGTGGAGGCCCAGAGGGCAGATGTGTGCTGCTGTTAGGAGAGGCAGGGCCAGAGCACATGGCAGGGGGTGTCTTCCTTAGGTGTTTGCCATAATCAGTATCCAGCAGAGGAACTATTGCCCAGTGGTTAGAGCAGGGTGGGTGTGGAGCTATAACTCTTGGGTTCCCAACTTGAGGGAAATAGTGTGACTTAGGAGAACCAAGTGGGGCAAACAAAAGTCAGGACTCCTGGGTTCTCTTTCTTATGCTGGGATGTGCGTGCTGCCCTCTGATTAGAGCAGGGCTGAGGAGTCCTGGACTCTTGGATTCTGCTCCTGGCTCTAGGCCTATTTGATCCCTTCTTTTGTTTCTCCTGGCTCTAGGAGGGAATGGTGGATTCATGGTTGTAGTCTGTGTGTGTGGGACCTGTGGGGTGGTGCTGCATCCTTGAGCCCAGACCCCTCCTGCATTTGTACACCTTCCCAGTCCCAACCATGTGGGGAGGCTGTGGGGGCGGGAGCTTCCTATTCTCCCCAGATCTGTGCTCTGTGTCACGGCTCATGTACTCTCCTAGGTCCCATCAGCCAGAAGATGTATGCGGTGTTGCCCTGTGGAGGCATTGGGGTGAGTACATCCTTGGGGACAGGGCTGAAGGGAGGGGGGCACCACAAGCTCTGTAACTAATGACCCTTGTCACTCTGTGGGCAGGTGGACAGTGACACGGTGTGGAACGAGATGCACTCATCCAGCGCAGTCCGCATGGCTGTGGGCTGCTTGGTGGAGTTGGCTTTCAAGGTGGCCTCAGGAGAGCTCAAGGTGAGGTCTGCACACATGCATGTACACACATGCACGCAGACATGCGCTCGTATGTGTACACACACACGTATGCATGTACAGAGCTGCTAGCTCCTCTCTGCTGGTGGCAGGGGTTCCAGGTGTGGCACATGCTCATCCTCTAGTGGCGGATTCCTGCTACTGCATCTATCTAGCCTGCATTCCCAATCCCAGCTCCACAGAGGCCCTTAGGTCCCTGACTCCTATGTGGGCTTTTAACTCCCACAGACGTGACTGGCAGTCAGGAGCCTAATACCCTTGTGGGCCTGCCTGGGCTTTTGATGCTGGAAGCCCTTAGTTGACATGGAGCAGGTCCACGTACTGCAGGGGTGGGCAAAATGTGGCCGAGGGGCCAGATGCGACCCACCAGGCCATTCTATTCGGCCTGCGGGGCCCCTAAAAATTTAGAAAGTTAATATTTACTGCCCCTGGCTGCCTATCATGTGGTCCTCGATGGCTTGCCAAAATTCAGTAAACGGCCCTCCGCCTGAAATAATTGCCCGCCCCTGATGTAGTGGATAACAGCTGACAGCTGGAGCTGCTCTGTCAAAGCCTTGGGCTGTAGCTATGAAGGTGCAGTGTTCAATCCCTGCTGATCCATGCAAGGGCATCAGCCTGGTGTGACTCCAGGGGAGGGGGTACTAATCTCCCCTTCTCCCCGGCTCAGTGAGGAGTCACTTTTTTGTGGCTCCCCCTTTGCCCCAGATGCAGCAGCGAGAGCTTCCTTGCTCCACACACTTGCAGCCTGCTTCTCCCTGGGGCCCTTCCCCGGCTCACTGGCCCTCTCCCTGGGGCTCTGTAACATGCAGCCCTGTGGGGCTGAGCTGCTCAGTGCCTTGGGAGCTCTGGCTCAGGCTGGAATTGTAGCTGCTTTTCTTCCAGTTTGGCAGCTGGAACAAGAAAGAGGAAAATCTCCCATGTGGCTGGGCCCCATGAGGCACAACATGAGGAGCTCTGAGCAGGGGGTGGGGGGAATGAGGCAGAATGTTTGGGTCTCTTCCTAGTTTTGGGACACAGTCTTTAGGTACCAAAGGAGAAGGTTGGGAATCAGGACTCCTGGGTTCTGTTCCCAACTGTGGAAAGAGGAGCATGGTCTTGTGATTAGGACAAGAGGATGGGGGCTGGGATACCTGGGCTCTCTTTCTAGCTCAGATAGTGCTGCTGTCAGTTGTGGAAAGGGAAGTGGAATCATGGGACTGGAGCAAGAGAAAGCACATCAGGATGCCTGGGTCCTATTTCCAATTCTGTTGGGGCCCACTCCATGACCTAGAGTCCTACTCTGTGCCTCAGATGGGGAGAGCAGGCCTTGTCCCAGGCTGCTATTGATCTCCTGTTCTTTAGAGAGTCCTGTGAGCCCCAGTGTGGCCCTGGGCCCCAGTGTGCCAAGTGCTGCATACAGTCCAGATGGAGCTGAAACAGACAGCTTCCATTAGTCCTGACAGCCTCTGCACCCATGCTGGCATTTCTCCCTGCCCTGATGGGCTCTGTCCCTGCCTTTCCTGGGCATCCCTGGAGCAGGGTCAGGGCTGGGGAGCCCTCTGTTCTGGAGAGCTGCTGGTCTGGCTCAGTCGCATAACCCCACTCCTGTCCCGTCTTCCTGCAGAATGGGTTTGCGGTCATCCGGCCTCCGGGGCACCATGCTGAGGAGTCAACTGCGATGTAAGTGAAGAATTTCCTTCCTCACCAGCCCGGGCACCCTCATGGGGGTAATGTAGAACACAGTGGGACTGTCTGATGCCCGGCTTTCTCTCCCTGGCTTGTTGTCTGCTGCCAAGAGCCCCATCAGACCACTGAAGAGATGGCTCCTGTCTGTGTCATGCTGCGCCTCACCGCCTCTCCCACACAGTGATGGGATTTGCCAAGGGTGATGGCTTCTGTGGCTAAACCTGGAATGCCTGGAATGGGCCTGATTCCCAGGCAGTGCAGTGCCCCTTGCCTTTTGAGAGCCAGGCCTCTTTGTAGGACCTCGAGTTAGGCTTCTGAACTCACTGGAGGCACCTTAAGGTTGCTCCCTACCTAGTCACAGCAAGATTTGGTCTTAGGCCCCAGCACATTCTGTTGCGGGATGTGTTAGGTAGTAGCATCCCCCTGTCCTGACCCCTACATATGATCCAGGCCTGGGTTTTCCCCGGAGCACAGACTCACAGACACACTCCAAGCAATAACAAACATGGTAGTGAAAGCCCTTCTGGCCACCCCCTCCACCCTGCAGTCACTAGATCATGGCAGCCCTGGTGTAGAAACAGGTAAATTCTGGAGGGCACATTGCTCATCTCTCTTCTGCTAGCTAGCAGTGACCATGCCTTTTCCTCTCCTGCCTGTCTAGGGGCTTCTGTTTCTTCAACTCTGTTGCCATCGCTGCCAAGCTGCTCCAGCAAAAGCTCAATGTGGGCAAAATCCTCATTGTGGACTGGGTAAGAAGCATCTGACTGCTCCCACCCACACCTAGGGCTTGCCCCTGCCTAGCCCTCTTCTGAGCTTGCCTCCTGGCATGAAGATGGTGTCCAGGGAGATAACAACTTGGATCACATTCTGTTTAGTCACACAAAGAGAGGCTGCATCCATCCCCAAGTGTGACCACAGTCACCTATTTTTGCTTGTCATTAGTAGTCTCCAGAGGCAGCAACCTGCTCAGCCAAAGTAAGGGGATTTGTTCCCACTTTCTGAGCTGCTGCTCTATGCAGAGATTCCCTGGGGATGTTTGAAGGGCTTGAAAGTCACTTGTGGTACCCCATCCTCTGCAGACTGTGAGAACACAGGATCGGGGCAGGGGGAGGCACTGTGGGGACAGCAAGGGGCACCCCTGCCATTGAATGGCAGCTGCTGTGGGGCTGTGGGAGAGGGACAGCTGGGATGTGATGCTGACAACTAGTCCCAGACCTCAGGGACATGTTAGCTGCCTTTGGTTCTCTGCATTGGCCCTGAGTGGAGTGTAACAGGGAGGCCTTTGCCGAAACCTGAGCTGCACCCAGCCTTTAGAACTGCTGCACCCCATTCTGCCCACAGGACATCCATCATGGCAATGGGACTCAACAGGCCTTCTACAGTGACCCCAGCGTGCTCTACATCTCCCTACATCGCTATGACAATGGGAACTTCTTCCCCGGCAGTGGAGCCCCTGAGGAGGTGAGTGCCAGGCTAGCTTGACCCGAGGGGTGGGGAGTACTAGTGTCACCCATGGGCCATGGCTCCTTACATGGTGCCCGTAGCCAGAGGACAGCTCTCAGGAAGGCAGGGGCTGTCATTTTAAGGCCTGAGGCAGCAGCTTCCTTGTGGGAAGCCAGATGTGCTCCAGGGCAGGAGGAGGCCTGAGTCCCTGTGGGGCAGAGACTGCAGACAGGGATCTGAACCACAGTCTGTAGGGAGTATGGGACTCCCTAAGCTCAGACCAGGGCATTCCCAGCAGGGGGGTTTAGCCAGGCAAAGTCTCTCAGTGTCTGCTTACTCCCCATCACCTCCAGAGGTGTCTTAGGTCTTCCCCCTCACTGCAGCTCCTGTCACCAGCCTGTGTGAGGCTGGGACCCCAGGGGCTGAGCTAGCATGGCCCTCTACCCCATGCTAACGCCATCCACATCTCCTGTCTTGCAGGTTGGCAGTGGGATGGGCGTGGGGTACAATATAAACATAGCTTGGACAGGTGGTGTGGACCCCCCCATCGGAGACGTGGAGTACCTGACTGCATTCAGGTAGGGGTGCCAGGCAAGCTTCAGCTGGGGGTGCTGCTCTGCTGGTGCAGCCCTCTCCCTCCACCCCCCCGCCTCCTTCCCTCTCCTGGGGGGGTGGGGGAGAATTGGAGGGCTCTCTTCCTTGGGGGCTGTATTGGATGGTCGGAGAAAGGCAGGGGACTTGCTTTTCTCCAGGGCAGTTGCTTGGGCCATGACTCACCACCTCAGACCGAGAAAGTGTTTGTGGTTTGCTTTGAGGGGCAGGGGTGGTTAAGGCTTTCTCTGTCCCATTCCTGAGCTGGCAGGTCCAGCCTGGCAGCCTGGGGACCTCAGCAGTGGGCTGATTGAGGCTGAGGCAGGTGAGGGGTCAAGGAGGATGCTCTGAGCTTAGTGCCTATCGTGTCTCCTCCCTAGGACGGTGGTGATGCCGATAGCCAATGAGTTCTCCCCAAATGTGGTCCTGGTCTCTGCCGGCTTTGACGCAGTCGAGGGACACCTGTCTCCCCTGGGTGGCTACTCTGTTACTGCGAAATGTGAGTATGGGGGAAGGCTAGCAAGGCGGGTGACTGACTGGGGAAATAGTGTCACAAATGGTGAGCTTGTTCCATAAAGCTGAGAATACCCACATGTAGGTGGTGGCCTGCCTTTTTTGTGGCATCATAGTGTCATCTGCTAGCAAGGCCTGGAGCAAGGGCTGCTTGCCTCTCCGTACTACAGGTTTCAGGACACATTCACCCCCCACTCCCCTCCCCCATCCATTTATGCCCTGCCTTTCTTCTGAGCTCTTCCAGCCTCTTTTCCCTGCCCCCCATTTTTAAGCCAAGTAGACCTGCATGTGCTACTGTGTGTGGAGGGAAGAACCTGAACTAGCAGCATAGAAAAGCTTCTACTGGCCATGTGCGGTGCCTGCAGTAAGCTCCAAATTCAAATTGCAAAATGCTTGAATAGTTGGCTTGCTGCCTACTTAGCATAATTGCATTTTAAACCCTGACTTCTGTCTTTTAGGCCTCTGCCACACATTACATATATTACTTAATTAACTGGTTAATCTCTCAATAAATTTAGATCAGCCACATGTGCAAAATAATTATCACACCATAAAAATGTCTCTCCAGGTATAAAAAGAGCCAATCAGCTACAAAATTTGTGCCTGTAAATATGTAACAGCTCTGTAGCTGTTTTCTATCCTGCTTTAATTTGAACATGTGGTAGGGCCCTTATAGTTGCTGTGTGTGTTTTGTGTCTGTTTAGTTTCATTGTTTTTTTGATTTCGAAATGACTGACACTAGGGCTTGGGGATAAAAACAAGAAATAAGAACTCTTCAGTCCTGAATATCATTCACATTGAGGTTTTTCTTCTTAGACCTGATGAATAATGCACTATGTTTAAAAGCTTGTCTAAATCTATTACTCATGTGCAGTTGGTCCAATAAAAGGTGTCATCCACAATAGTCCTTGCCTCTCACATTCACATTTACACTTACCTAAAAATGAGAGTTATAAAAAATTATTACATTTTTAGAATTTAATGTAATTGTTTCACAGTAGCAGTTAACTAATTTGTTTCTTTGTAATTAGTATAATATATCTAACCTGAACAAGATTAAAGTCTCTCTCCTCACTAATTTAATAAATTATTGCTAAAATATTTTACTCTTACTTGACATTATTTGACCAGTCAATTTGACTAAGTATTTTTTGACTACTCAGATACTCAACCCTAGGATGGGGCTGCCCTATTAGGTACTAAGAAGTCATGCTTGGTGATGGGCAGGGCTGTCCTGAGGCAGGGAAAGGAGTGAGGGGCTATTTTGGAGTGTTGCTGGAGGGCTATGGTTGGGGCCAGGCAGGGCTGTCCTGGGCTGGGGGCAGAGGTCATGTCAGGAGGCAGAGCACTTCAGTACTGGAGAAATCAAAGATGTATTAGTACTGACAGAGGTTCATGAGAGATGGCCAGCCCAGGTACCCAGCCCAGCAGGGCAAGCTAAGCTGGGCTCCATCCCTGGCCACCATTCAGCCTTTCTGTAGGATGAAGGGATTTCATACTCCCTCTATGTGCCATGGTGTGTCCAGTGGGGAAAAGGAAAATGTCACCAGGGGCATAAACCAGCAGCAAAGCCCTTTGCAGTGCCCAGGTGATGGGAAAGATGTACAAGATATGGGCTGTTTGCCTTCTTCCCCCAATAAATGGGGTGGTCTTATCCCACCCAGACTGAAGGATGTTTTCTTCGTGGTTCTATAGGTTTCGGACACCTGACCAAGCAGCTGATGAAGCTGGCTGGTGGGCGCGTGGTGCTAGCCTTGGAAGGGGGGCATGACCTGACAGCCATTTGTGATGCCTCGGAGGCCTGCGTCTCTGCTCTGCTCAGCTTAGAGGTGAGCACTGGAGTGGGGGCTTTTGTCCAGCTGGCCCTAGCCTGCTTGGCCCATTCTGGCTTTTCTCTGGGTCCCCCTCCCACCTGTTGTTTAAACCAGTGGGGGACAACCTTTTTGTCAGGCATGCCTTGAACTAGCTCTACACCCTCCCCAAGCGCCACTCCTATCCCTTTTCCTTGCCTGATCTACTGGGCTGCCTTCTGCTTCCATCCCTGTGCTCCATGTCTGATCTGCCACTCTGTTTTCTGCTTCCTGCCCTATCTGCTGCTGTGCTGCCTGTCCTCCCTGATCTGCTGAGTGCCACCCGCCTAGGCTGCCCATGCCACTAGTGGCACCCTTACCTCAGATTTGCCACCCCTGGTTTAAACTATGAGCCCCTCAGGTTGGGTTGTCATTGTGTCTGTGCAGCACCTGGCATGACTGGGCCCTGGGGCAAAGGTTGCCTGTCCTATCACAGTGTTGGGGCAGCACCTGACCCAGTGGAGCACTGCCCTCTGTTGGGGTCCTTGGGTGCTGCTGTGATGCATGTAACCATTATTAGCTATGAATTAGGTAATTAATGTTGTTATGGGCTGTCCTGAATAGTTTAGTCGGAGGCGAAAATGCTTTGCTGAATGGGGTCATAGTCTCTAAGAGAGCAGACTGCTCGGTAGAGAGGGCCCTGTGTTTCCTCTGCCCTCCTACCAGTGAGCGATCGCAGCTGACAAGAGGAGGCAGGACTGTTTCACTTGGAGATGATGCATCTCATGTCTCTGGCAGGTCTTCCTTTTGGTTGGGATTTCTGAATGCAGGGAGGGAACCTGGTTCATATTGGGGTTCTGGTGCAGCGGGTATATAGAGGCATAATATACGAGCCATGATACCAGCCAGCTGGGCCTGCTCCTGGGTGAGATCAGCCCCAAACCAGTCTGTAGGTTGTGGCTTTTACACTGGGGCATTCCCTTGATTCCTGTTAAACCCAGCTGTGACTTCACAGGATGCTGGACCATGTATTCGATGGGGGTGGGGTTGGCTCTTGCTGAGTGCTTTTGAAAACCCATGCCTGGACATCAGTTGGAGCCTCTGGGCACATAGAGGACACTCCTGCACTGATCCAACTAAAGGATCAAGACCAGAACTGGTCCTAATTCCTGTCCTTGCAGTAACAGGACACCGATGATGCCTTCATCCCCCTGCTTTACCAGGGGCAGGTTAAGGGATTTGTGATGTTTTGGTCATTGTGCCTGGGAGTTGTACCAGAAGGTTGTTCCTAATGTTTTTGAGAATCAGTTAGATGAGGCTGATTCTGCCTTAGCAGGAGCTAAATGAGATGGCCTCCTGATGGCCGTGCCATCCCTGCTTTCCTGTGATTCTGTGACTCTGAAGCCCCACTGTAAGTGTCATTAGCTCTGCAGCCTGTTCTCATTTACATTTCACCCCATCCAGCCTCATACCGTAGCCCAGCCCCGCTAGGTTCACAGTCACAGCAAGGAGGGTTTAAAAACGGAACTGTGATCCTAGTGGAACTGAGAACAGCTGACTTCAGAGGGGCACTCTGGATCTTATGGCTTAAGAAAACACATTCTTGTGTCAACAGCATTTGGAGATAGCAGAATCTGGTGGGTAGAGGCAGAGATGTCTGGGAGCCCAGGCTCCTGAGTTGTGTTGCTTGCTCTGCCTCTGGCCGGAACTGTCATCTGGGGCCAGTCGCTTCTCAACCTACACACCTCAGCTTCCACATCTGCAAACTGTGGCAAGGGATGTTGGCCTCACTTTGTAGGGCACAACATGAGCCCCTGGTAGGGAGCTGGCATGAAGAAGATATGCATCAGTAAAAATCTGATGGGGTAGGTGTGTCCTGGCAGCGCTTCTGCAGCCAGTCTGCAATGATGAGGCTCCCACCACCATCCTGTGGGACAAAAAGATGGGCATGGGTGGGAGGAGGGGTGGTTATGCAGGGGAAGGTGGAACTGACTGAAGCCTGGGTGGTGATGTGGTGGAAGAGTGTGTGTGGGTGCATGTATGTGTGTGTGTGCGTGTGTGCGCATGCACACCTGGATGCATACACATGTGTATGGTGGAGGATGTAAAATATGTCTCGCTTTTTTGACTGTCTCCTTCTCTCCCATCCCTCCCAGCTGGACCCCCTGGACCCAGCGATCCTGCAGCAAAAGCCAAATGTAAATGCCGTGACCACATTGGAGAAGGTCATTGAAATCCAGAGTAAGTGGGAGCACCTGGGGACGGGTTGGGGGAGCCCCATATTAATGCCCACCATTTTCACTGCTGGGTGACACTACAGAGGGTGACAGGAAAGCAAGTCTCTGCTTTGCACAGTGACAGCAGAGTTGGGAACAGGTCAACTCTTTTGTGGGGTTGCAGTGCTGGCTGTGGGGGAGCTCCCAGCTACCCCTGCCCCAGCCTATCCCAGCAGGAGATGCTGTAAGGGATGATGCATAAGCTCCAGCCCAGCCACATGAAGCAGGTTGTTGGCTGCGGAGCTTGATGCCTCTTGTAATGAACTCCTGGTGCCTGCAGGCAAACACTGGAGCTCTGTGAAGCGCTATGCCTCTGTGGTCAGCTGTTCCTTGCTGGAGGCCCAGAAGGGCGAGGCGGAAGAGGCCGAGACAGTAAGTGCCATGGCATTGCTATCAGTCGATGCAGAGCAAGGAAGCACAGACTGCAACCCCAGGTACGGTCCTCCCTCCCTCCTTCTCTCCCATGTGTGCCACCTTGTCCTAGTCCCTCGTCCCATCCTGGACATTTTGGGTCACGTTGCACATAACATTTACTCACCTCCCATTGCGCTGGTTCATCCTTCTGCAGCCCACAGGCTGATTTATTGAGCTATGCGCTGGGAGGCTTTACATCTGGGTCTGGGATCCAAGTCAAGACTTGCCAGTGACAGCAGGGATAGAACTCTTGGCAGGCCCAGGCCTTTGGCTGTTGAGCAAAGAAAAGTATTTGTTAGTTGATATAGCAGTAGAAGGACTATGACACAGAAGTCATACGTCTGCTTCAACCCAGTAGGGGGCAGTGGTGGATATGACCACCCACACACTCCCACACCCTCCTGCCCAGGCCTTCATCTCACCTGTGCCTGCTTGGATCTGTGAGCCAGGTGGGTACTGGAGTCGCTGAAGCAGGTTCAGCAACATGTGGTGTGCCAGCTGGGCAGGAACCCCCAGGACCAAGGGCAGGTCCCTCTATGGCCTGGACTTGTGGTGTGTTCAGGCTGGCCATAGGACCAGATACCATCCAGTTATCCACTGAAGAGGCCCCATGATGCCTGGAGTGAAAGGCAGGGCTCCTTTGGTGGGGCCAGGACGAGGGGAGACATCCCAGCCTGATCTGCGCAGGGGATCCCAGTCCTGTGTCTGCCATATTAGACTCACCTGCTAGCAGGATGGAGCATGGAGCCAAACCTCAGTGTCGTCAGGCTTATCCCCATCTCCTCTGGCTACATTCCCTCATTTCCCCTGCTTCCTGGCAGGTAGGGAAGCAGGTGGGCAGGAGGCTCAGACTTAGGCCTTATCTGAATGGAGATATGGCCCCATTTAAGCCATTGGGGGCTGCAAGGAGCACCTTTCCTCTCTCTCTGGCCAGGGACATTTCACATGAGTGGCACTGAACATGCTCCACCCTGGCTTCAAACAGGCATCTGTTCCAATACTTCTCCACCCCGTACCCCCTCCATGCTGACCTTACTTGCTTTGGGGGCTTGTACTGAAGGGGTATGGTTGGGGGGGAAAGAGGTGCTACTGTGCTCCCCTTGGCACTGTGCCTTATGATTTATATTCTAGGTGCAGCTCAGTACCCCCATCCTTCCGGGCGCTGTGCAGCCCTGGAAGACCGCCTCTAGTCTAGGCTAAAGAGCCTGTGCACAGGACTAGGCAGACAGAAACATGCTACAAATGCCTATGCCTGCCTTTGCCAGAGCTAATTTGTTTTTAGAGGGCTATGGGAGTCAGGGGCACCCTAGCTGCTGGGCTGTTAGGAAGGCTTGCTTGTCTGTGTCACAGAGGCTGGCGTTGAGAACTGAGCCAGCCCTTATCCAGGCCCCTGTGACTGCCAGTGAGCACGGCACAGCTGGATCTACAGAGCTAGCTGCATGCTCGGGCTCCTGCATTAACAGGCAGTGTGTCTCTCTTTGCTCCCTAGACAAGTGGACGAGCCGATGGAGGCCGAGCCCGTGCTGTGAAGTGCCAACCCGTCGTGTATCCGTCGTCACTCTTGTGGGTTTTTTGGTCATTTGTGATTTTGTTTCAAAAACAAAAAAAAGAAAATTCTTTTTTTTTAATTAAAAAGAAGAGAAAAGAAACAAAAAACCCCCCACATCACACTTGCCTCAGCCACTGAGCGGCGCGTGCAATTGCTTGTGCCCGTCTCCAGCCATCTGGACCCACCAGCATCTCAAACTCACCCCCGTGCCTCCGGGATCCAGGGGCTGGGTTGGGTTCTCCTTCACGTTCTTTCCCCTGTTTCCTTCTCCTCCTCCTTTTTTGGGGGAGGGTTCCATCGTTCTTCCCTCCTGACACCATGCGGTAGCAGCTAAATGAGGAGCCGTTTCACGTTGGAGTCTTTTGCACTTTGGGACTGGGAGAGAGGAGATCTCCAAACGGATCAAAACGCTAAGCAGCAGCATGTCCCGTTTTCTCTCCCTCTCTCTTCTTTTCTCGTTCCCTTTTTTCCTGCTCATGCCAGAACCTGAGCTCTGGGGCTTTCTTGTATTTAGGTTTTTTTTACCCTTCACACCTGAATTCATCTTTCTGTCAATGGTGTTTAAGTGTTTCTTAAGACAGAAGTGACTCTTGATTCTTCTTGAAGACGGTCCCTGGGGAAGGCGGAAGGAAATATTTGTGCCTTTAATTAAGTCATTTTTTTTTAATGCCTTAATTTCCCTGTGATTTTCATTTTTCTCAGTTTAGTTACCGTTTCTGAGGGAGATATACATATATAAATACAGGGGAAAAATAAGAGTCACGCTATAGTATGATTCGAAATCTACCCCCACCCACCATCCCCTCTCACTCCCTCCGGCTCCCCACCCTGTAATTAATCCCTTTGTAATTAAGAGAGCCATTGTGAGCATATGTTCCTGACCAATGCTTTCTGGAAGTTGTTTTTTTTTTTGTTTTGTTTTGTTTGGAGAAGCCTCGTCTCGCTGTAAATAATTTGATTTCCTGTATCATGTGCACAAAAACTTGGTTTCGACGAAAACTTTTTTTGTCCGTTCGTAAAAAAGAAAAAGAAAAAAAAAAAACTATTTTCTTTTCCTGTTACTTCACCAGCCTAAGAGAACTTAGAACGATTTTAGCTTTAAAAGAGAAACAAAGGTATATAATTTTATTACAGATGTATTATTTAATAGTATTTTTTTAATTGCGCCACACACGCTTTTCCTTTGGAAAGTCGGGTGGGGGGGAGCCAGGGATTTGTAACAAGGACAGAAATGGGTCGTTTTGTTTTAAATTATTCTTTGGTGATGGGATTTCTCGGTTTTGGGTGATGTCAGACTCCGTGTCGTGTTGATTTGCTCTGAGTTGAAGTCTTGACAAAGCCCATTAGGGTGACAACTGGCTTTGGTTATGAGTTTGCTTGTGGCTGCATTTTCCAATGCCCTCTTTGAGCCATCTAAGCTTGTGACCCCCTCCCTTCTTATGTTCCTGCACCCCCATGTTGCATCTGGGATTTTGGAGTGAGGGAGAAACGATTGGGGTTTCTTTCAGGGGGAGGAGAGTAGCCCATTGTAGTGGGAGAGTGCAGTTGCAATGTGCCCTGCCAAGTGTAGGAATAGGAAAAGGCCCCCTAGGGCTGAAGTACAGGAAGTAGTGGATCATGCATCGGTCCCTGCACCGGAGCAAGTACGCTGCAGCAGTGCATTGGCCAAGGTGACTTCTCAGTGCCCAACACGAAGCGATGCAGGAGAATTTTGAGCTGGCTGCCGTATGAGGGAGGCATTCTGGGAAATAGCACTAAGACTGCAAGCTGGGCCCTTGACTGCTGCTGGCTGCCTTTTGCAGTGGTTGCCTCCCCCACTATCTAGTGCTTGGGGCTAGGCCTGGATCCAAACAGCCCCAGATGCTGTGATCCCGGATGCTGATGAATGATCCCTATAATGGGGGGAAATCTGGGCCCCAGATCCAAGCCCCAATGAGCTGTGGGCTCAGTGTTCCTGTTGCCAGAGGGATGCCTTCCTCTGTAGGCAGTTATCTTCCCTTCACTTTCTTGGCCCCCCCCTCTCCCCAGCATTAGACTGGGCAAAGACCCTGCCCATGCCAGCACTTAACCCCAGTAACAAGTGGAGGGCAGGCAGACCCATAGCAGACACTCCTGTGGCTCCAGCCTCCTCTGCAGGTTGGGCAAGATTCAGGGGGCTTCTGGCCTCCCATCTACAATGTAGATGGGATAATCTGGCTGCCCATTGTCACAGCCAGGTCTTGTGCCCTTCAGACCTGAGATCAGTGAACAGATCTTCTGCATCCTTGCAGCCTGTTTTCTCACTGAGCCCCTTTCCCCTCCTTTCCAAGGCTGGCTCCAAAGCATCCTTCCTCTGGGTGGTGTCCTAGCCCTAGGGGCCAGTAGGAGCACATCTCCCACCAGAGAGTCTGGTACCCAACACTAACAGGAGAGGAGGGAAGAGTCAGTGCAATGCATAGTTGAGAACACTACATGGCACTGGGCAGCACTGCTACTGAGCACTACGTCCCCATCCCCACCCTCAGTTGTGGCCAGGGCAATTGGAAAGGCCCTTGGGGTAGGCTGGGCCTGTGCACCTCGGCCTTGACTTTGCTGTCTTTCAGGGGTTTGCCCTGGGATCCCCTGTAGCTTCTGAGCACTCCTGTCCATCAGAGCCCATGTACAGCTCCAGTGCTTTTCAGATCCTGGCTGCCTTCCCCCCAGGCAGGGCAGAGGCCTCTCCAGCTCCAAGATCCCAAGAGCATGTTAAGCCAGGGCAACACCTGCCAGAGGCAGCCCTGGCCTTGCCATCTTAGTTTCAGGCCGAATGTCCTGCTTTGACTGGGAGGTTGTAAGGAACCCAACTCTGCCAGGGCAGAAACCAGACAGCTCCTCTGCCTCTACTTATCAGCACCTCACCCCCCACCCCATCCTCTGGGCCCTGCTGGGATATGCCAGCTGTTGGCCTTGTTGGTAGCATGGACAGGGTGACAAGGCCAGTCGCAGCCTCTCAAGTGGGAGGCACGAGGGGACTGCTGTGGTGGAAACGATGGAGGCAGGAGGGTTTGTGCCTAGGATTTTTCAAACAGCTCCACCACAAATGGCCAGGGGGAAGGGTTTTTGCCACTAAGACAGGGGTCTCTCAGCTTGGGGGCTGGCTCAGAAACATGCCAGGCATGCAATGATTGTAGCGTCCCAGGGTGGAGGTTCAGCTAAGCAGGTTCATGCCCTCTAATCTGCCTTCATCCCCCCCAGTGCTGAGGGGACATTAGTTCCCTGTCCTGACTTGCCTTGGGGCATTTCCCTCTGCCTGTCCACAGTGGGGAGAGGCTTCACAGTTGGGCTGCTGTGTAGGGAGATTGGCAGGGAGGGGAGGATCTCTGCATGGCCCTTAGAAGCTGATGGGAAGTGGAGTTTGCTCCAGGGACAAAACCTGCCTCCTCTGTTGGTGCTGCTGTTAGCTGTGGGCAGATGCTAAGGGCTTGAGTAGGCCATGCAAAGTGACTCCCTCCATGTCCCTATCTCTGGGGGCTTCCTTGTCAGGTGGGAGCTGGGCCCTCCTCAGCCTTTGGCAGGGCTGCCTCCAAGAGAGATGTGGACATCCCAGACAGCTGCCTTCTGAGGGGGTGGGGGTGGGGTGTTAGGCCTGGAGAAGGGGCTTTGTGATCTCCTATGCGATTCTGGTGCCTGATGGGGCAGGAGGCTGTGCAGATGGGGCTCAGGGGGCACTCAGCACTGGAGGCAGGGGGAGGGCAATGCCAACAGCTCCTCCCCACTCCTGGGTGAAAGCCTTACCTCTGCCCCCCACCCCAGCCCCTATCTCACCCCAGGAGCAGGGTGATTCCCTTCATCCCCACCCCCCAAGAGGAACAGCACACAGCTTCTGCCTGGGCCTGGTGACACCAGGGTAGACAAGACCTCAGCTTCTTTGTGAACTGTGCTGAAGCCCTTCACTCTGACTCCTGCAAACTATCCCAATCCCATCTCTGCAAACAGCACAGCCCTGGGGCACCCAGCCCAGGGCTCTGTCAGGCTGACGCTCCGTGGCACAGGCAGCTGTACTGATAGGGCTACGTGTCTTTCTGTTGCACTGGTAACTGGAGGGTCCCATTCCTTGTTGCCCTGCATCTTAGGCGGTTGTTTCTATTGGTGTAAAAATACCACCAGATCCACAGGGTCCTATTGTCCAGCACTGTGGCACGAGTGCACTGACAATGTCAGAGACAGGCCACAGGGGAACATGTTCCCAGGACAGGGCAGTGGCAAAGCCATGGGGCAGGGATGCCAGTGTCTTATCTTGGGGGAGAGGGCAGCTGAGCAAAGGAAAGCTTCTCTCCCTCCTTTCCACCTTATTTCCGCACAGGGTTGGGTTTATCCACAGCAGTCAGGGAGCAAGTCCCCCAAGGGAGGGAGTCCAAGCAGGTGCTGGGGGAGGGAGGGTGCTGGTTTCAGCCAGGGCTCCATTTTCCATTCATTTGCAACTAAACAACTAAGGCGAACCGAAGCCATCGCTCCGTTGGACGACTCCGTGCGTGTTTGTCCGTGGTGTGGATCGTGTCCCCTGGGTATCGTTTCTTGAGCTTCCCCTGTCTCGGCAGTATTCAGTTGTTAGGGGTGCTCTGTCTTTATTTTGCTTCCCTTCCCCGTGATGCTGTGATGCCCCCCTCTTCCCCCAGGGGTGGGAGCTGTTTCCGTCTTTAGTTTCTTCTTTTTACCCTGTCCCCCCTTTCTGTTCCCCTCCCTTGCTCTCTGTCTTTCTCTTGATATGGTTTTCAGTTGGGTATTTTGTAATCTGTTATAATGTTTGTCCTTGTGTAAATAAAACTGTTTCTGGCAATACCCGGTGGTGGAGACAGCCTGCGTGGGTTTCTTTGGGCTTCACATGCTTCCTCTTCACCAGGTCCAGGTCCCACTGGGCTGACAGCCCTTGTCCTACTAGCAGCAGGGTCATTGCTATTCATTTCTGTATTCAAGACTGCCGCCAGCACAGGAGGAGAGCAGGGTCTGGCTGCTTTGAGACCTCTCTGTATGCTCCAGGATTGTACAGCAGGAAGAGTCTTGCACAGGGCTTTGGGAGATGCAAGTTCAAACCCCAGCTCAGCCAGAACCTCTCCAGGTAGGAACTGGCAGAGTGACTACATCACTTTGTGCCTCAGGTTCCCCAGTTGTAGAACGGGGGTAGCAGCCCTGCCCTGTGTCCTGACAGTGCTTGCCAATGATGAGGCACTGGTGAGGTCCCTCATGATGTGACGTGCTGTTTGCTCTGTCAGGGTGACCAACTCTTAGCCCTGCGTGCTGTTCCCACAGTAAGGTGGAGGGAACATCACACGTGCATGAAACGGGTGCTGTGGGACCACATGATGCAGCAACCGTGGCAGGGAGGTGCAGCTCAGAGGCTGGAGTTAAGCCCTGAGACTGTTAATGGATAGGGAGAATCCAGACCCAGGTGCCAGGGGCTCATCTGCTCACAAAAGTTAAGTCAGACTAAGAGGGTGTGAATTTAAAGTGCCACTGCTGTTCAGGAATAACTCCCTGTGCAGATGCTTAGTTTGGCCCAGGAGTAACATGTTACAGTTTCAGTTGCGCCCCTGGATAGTTACTGTGAGATAACTCAGTGTGCAAACTGGGCTTTGGAGATCCACTTGTTCAAGGAAAAACTGAGTCAGAGCACCCTCTAACCCAAGGGCTTCAGTGGCAACACCCAGCACCTCTGATAACTGAGCTAGATCCTCAGCTGTGGGCTCCTTGGCAAAACTCCACAGCAACCCGCACAGTGGGGCTACACTGACTTCCATGTATGGCCCTTGGTCCATGGCTATAGTTCTGCCCCATACCTATCACTAAGCAGGGCAGTACCTGGCATGAAAGGGGGTGGGGAAGAGGGAGGTTAGAGCCAGCAGCAAGCCCAGGACCCTGGGGAGAGCCCAGCCTCTTCCCACTGGTCAAGGAAGTCAGGACCCCATCGCTCAGTGAGAATCCCTTTCCATCATCCCTGCTGCCAGGCCCCATTGTGCAGATCAGCTTTACCCCTGCATCTCAGCACCTTGGCACGTCCCAGGTGCTGCTGCTCTCTAGTTTGCAATGATGCACTGAGTGCTCATAGGTGGCAGGATGGTCCTTTATTTGGTTTGAATCAAGTTGCTGCCTGCACTTGGCACAACAGCTGCACA